GACATATCTATTTAGCTCAATTTTATGCACTATTGCATGTTTTTGTACCATGTTTTTGCTTTGGTCTACAACACATACTCACTGCTTGGTCTAATGATTGCTTTCTTAATGTGACCCTGAAATGTCAGTGGAGATAATAGGTGTTAATGGGCTGTTGGAGCCCAGACTATTCAGCATTTATTTCCTTATTTCCATTCACCGGTCGACTAGTCAGTATGTAAAAAAATGTTTTAACAGGGCCAGCATAGTTGATTTAAAGATTTTTTTTTTATTATTGTTATACTAACTCTGTGACATTGCAAGAAAATGTATTTGCTTTTCCCCCTCCCCCCACCCGATCAGTTCCTTGTTTCAGCTCTGATGTATTCATTGCAACTGCTATTTTTTGTATATGTTTATCCTATTCTGCTGTAATTATTGTAGAAAATAAATTAAATATTACTCAAAAAAAAACTACATACAAATCCTGATTTTTTTAACCCCCTTTTTTCCATGTGATTCCTTCCTAATCATTATAATCAGAGATACTCTCAAGCACATTAACTCATGTAATAGCCTATGTTTCCTATGAAAAACAAAAGTTTCTGTATCATAACAATTGGACTGCCCTTTTTGTTATAATACTACAAATTTTCAACAAACATTAAGGTCCTAAAACTGAGACACCATGTCTACCATTCATCAGTTTATGAATCAAACAAAATTAACTGGCCCCTTCAGTCACTATGTACAGGAATTAGGCCTGATAACATTCTTTGCCAAGAGAGCAGCACATCATGCTGCAAAGCATGGCTCCGAGGCTCAAACATGCTGAGATGGTGACTGGTGGCCTGTTGGGAGCCACTCTGTATAGTAACCACAAACCTCCACTGCAGTGCTTCTGTCCTCACTTCAAAGTCATGGATAAAAATCCGGAAATCAGCTCAAAGGATGCCTTTTTGAATACACTGGTTTCCAAATCTATCAATTTTCTGCTGATTATCAGGGCCCTGAAGGCAGGGGAATAATTATCCTTTTCCTCAGCTACATCAGCGGCTCTTCCTGGGGGAATACCACAACGCTCCAAGGCTAGGCTAGATATTTAAACCCTCCAGTATGATCTGGGTGTACCCCTCCCTGTTGGATATACCCAGAGGGAGGCGTCTGAGAGGCATCCTGATGAAACCAAACTACATCAATAAATGCAAAAGGAGTTCGAGTTCTGAGATCCTCCTGAATGTCTGAGCACAGACAGCCTGTAAGGGAAACTCATATGGGCTACTTGTATCAAAGATCTCCTCACTTCAGTCACTACCACAGCTGATGAACACAGGGGGGATGGGGAGCTTTGGTTTCAGGCTCAGCTGCCCTACAACAGTCAAGTCTCTCATGCCTTCATATATTCAATTGTGAAATTTACCATTTCTACTGAGAACATGGTATTTTGACATGACAAGTTTCCATGCGAGTAGCTGGAAATGTTTAGAATTGGGTCTAGCTTTGAAAATGTCTTAAAATGCCAAATGCAAAGTAATTAAATTGCAAGTATTTGGACAGATTTTTTTAAAAAGGATGATCATTTTTGCATTTTATTTTCACTGACAATGGTATAAAAATGACTATGTTATTTTTGCTAGGGTCAGTACCATAAATAAAACAGGTTCCTTTGTGCCTGGGATATGATTTGTAGGCTGGGACATCACTATAGCACTACAAAAGCTTTATTTAAAATGGTGTTTTATGACAGATTTTACCTTTGTCCAAAAACTGTAGCTCCTGCAATCCAGATATTGCAATTGTGTTTTCAACAATATTTCATTTAAAAATTCTAATCACAAATATCACAGGGGGTTGACGTGTAGCAAAGGGCCGTGAACTGGAAACTAACCTGTGGCCGCTGTGGCAAGGACACAGCATTGGGTCTGTGCTTGGGTCTATGGGGTGCGTGCATTACTAGTTGAGCTAGCTTGACTCATCTTGACAACATGAAATTAAAAGACAGATAAATGAAATTCGCTAAAATATTTGTAGCAAGTAAGACCTCAGAAATTCATATTTAAGATAACATTTAAGGCGTATGTTGATAAAATTGAATTTAAGACATTTTAAGACTTTTTACGGACCTGCAGACACACTGTTGAAGCAGCATTTATATATTTTATATTTATTTAGCTTTTTGGGGGCAGCACTTAACAGGATTTATGTACACTTTGTGGCAGCAAATAATAACTTACACATCCAACAGACATGGAGTAGTATCAACATTCGTTAGTGTGTTTGTGTCAACCTGATGAATGTAAGTCCAATATCCACTCTCTTCTGGCTCTGGTTTGCTCTCCACCGACACCTCAGAAAACTATTACTGCCATTTGGCACTGGGCAGGTAGTGTACAGTGTGTTTTGTCTCTTCACTTAAAACACCTACTACAACAGATTGATGAGAGTGGTGAGAATGAACCAAAACAGTTAAAGGGGAACACCACCTAAATTAAGAATTCCAATGTTTTTTTTCATGGCCTAGGAAAGTTCAATCAATATTAGTGAACGTGAGCTACTCTCTCTCAAAACCAGGAGCCAGAGAGGTGATGTCAAAGGGTATTAAGTCTGGAGCTGCTCCATAGACAGTGAATAGGGGTCTTTTTGGACCCACAAAATGTTTTTTTTTTTTGCTGTTTGTTTGTTTTTGTTTTTTTTTTTTTAGTTCTGAAACAGAAAATGTGCCCATATACTCAAAACATTCTCCTGGGTGCTCTCAGTGTCATCTGTTTGCACTGAACATGATGCAAGTGTTTAGCGCAATGAGATTACACAAAAGTCAATGAAAAGACGCAAATAGACCCAAATTTGCACTAAATGATGCCATGGAGGCGAATGATGCAACGTGAATGACGTGATAGTCGCATCTTCACGCAAGTTGAAATTTTCCAACTTCAGGTGACGCTGTGTCGCAAAAGTCTATCAGCATTGAGATCTTGTTGAGATTGTCCTGACGTTACCGAGATTCACAATGAAGGACAAACAATGTTGCTGTCAATGTGCACCCAGAGCTACACTCAAGCCCTTTTTAGATAGGAGTTGTGCAAATTTGCAGGAAAGCCCAATCAGTCTTTTTTCAGCATTGGCAGTATAAATACAAAATCGGGGAGTGCAGCAAAATGCCACCTACCTACTTTTGTTACAGAATGTGCCTTTTTCGGGGCAATGGGGGGGCGTGAGCAAGTGACAAAACGTGTAGCCCAGCGTGTGACGTGGGGTGGAAGCGGCGGCTGGTCAGTCCTTCAGTGATTCTCTCGTCACCGTCCCCATCATCTGACGGTTAATGGCCTCTTTGTTTGCAAGGAGGGCGCGCAATTCCTTGTCCCCCAGTTGCTCATCTTTACAGTGTCTCTCAGGTTTGCGTTTCCCTCTTGCAACTATTGTGTGAAATTTTATTGTGGAAAGTAAACAACACAGGGTGTGAAGCAGTGATGCGGCACCGTGTCAGTAGGATAAATAATAAAGAGTGTTACTGACTTGGTTCACGCTGCTTCAGGGCACAGAGCTTTCACGTTTATATCCAAGTATCATTTGTGCTACACTGCAAATCGAGTATGCCATTGGCTGCCTCCCTGAGTTAGTTAGCTAGCACAACCCTTAGCAAAGCTGTTAAGGGCAAATACTCGCTAAATGCTCAAAAAAATGCTTTACATGTGGGGTAACATGTGGGTAACGCGATGCGAAAATTCTTATCATGTTCAGCGTGAACACAACATATAGCGTCTTTCACCATTCATTGTCTATGGAGCAGCTCCAGACTTTATACCTGATGACATCACAAATTTTAGTTTTGGCACTCTACTTTTGATTTGGGAGAGAGTTGTTCAAGTTTACTAGTATTTCTAGACTGTCTCTGATTAATGAAATGACAGGTATGATTCTGAAAATGGGCGTAGTTCCCCTTTAAGTTGGGCATAAAACCAAAACAATGAGCTGAAAGACACCTGAAAAGCTCTGTAGAGCTGAGAGAAACTGTAGGTGATAATTCTCTGTGTGTACATTACAGCGCATTTTAGATAAATATGACACAAAAATGTATGAATGTATGTATATAGGTGCATCTTAAAAATGCACTCTGCCTAAACAGCCTAATAAAGTATCCATAGCGCAACCTTATTCCAACATTTCCTTCCAGTGGAGTAGTTTAATCTTGCTTCAAGGATTTTCTAGCATCAAGCCATGGCATCTTAATAGCATTGCAGTAACCTTCCTTCTGCTGTCATGATACTGATGCTGGAAACTGCACTGGCAACAATGGAATCTCAGCTTGGTGGAAAAAAAGGGTTAATTAGGCTTTCGTTTTTAATTGCGCGTTATTATACCTACATAGTAATATATATATATATTAGGACTGTGTAGAGTTATATGCCTGCCCCCTTCCTCTATAAAAAAAAAGAAAAGAAAAGAAAAAATCCTCAGGTGCAGTGAATTCAGGTGATTATTCACGTTCCTCGCATGTCCAATACAAGCTTTTCCTTCATGATGTGGCAAATATGAAATGACCACACACGCGGAGACACACACAATCCTGTGGCATTGCTTCAGTGTGGAAGCTAATTGAAGTGAAGTGAAACAGATGCAGCAGACTTCATGCTGCCAGTCTGCACCGCACTGCGCCCCGCTTCCACCCAACACACAACACCAGCGACTACACACAGTCTGCATGCTGCTCAACTCCTCTCTGAGACAATGACAGCAACTACAACAAACAGCTTCGTCCATCTCTCCTCTCCTCCCGTCTGTCCTTCTGTCAGTCATCATGTTTTCACACCTCTCCCAGCCTTTAAGTCCTCTGTCAGCATGATGCGGACTCCCTGACCAATGACTAGTATCTCGAGGAGCTGTCATCCTTAATGCGGTAAACTCCCTGCCCACACACACACACATACACACATACACACAGAGGCGAGCAGAAAGACGCAGTAACACCCAGCACAGCGCCGGTCCGGCACTCGGCTTCAGAGCATCAGAAAAAAAGGACTTACAGTTCGCAGGAACTGGATTTCATCCTCGCCTTCTCCTCCTTCAGCCATGGTTAGCGTTCACAAGGAGATGCTCGTGCTGTATCTGCGTGTGGACTACAGGCTGGGTGTGCGTGTGTGGCGGTGTATGCGTGTTTGAGACGGAGAAAGCCAACGCACAGTGGAACTCGTCTCTCATTGGACGGCGCGCGCTCACCGAGGGAGGAGCAGCACAGGTGTAAGCGAGTGTGTGTGTGCGCGAGCAGTTTGCCTCCTCTCTCGGCCGTTGGGTATGGAAGCTCATTCCCGCCATGAACGTTCACAAGTGAATTCATAGCAAGTCAGGAGTCCAGTGCCTTAATGTTCCCCACCTAGACACGCTATCAAAATTGTGTCCGGGTACTTCTTTTTTTTTTAATTTAAAGGGATAGTTCAGATTTTTTCAAGGGTGGCTGTATGAGGTACTTATCCACAGATAATATTTACCATAGATTACCTACAGTAGATGTCGGTCAACAAGCCCCCAGTTTGAAGAGGTAGGCTGAAGTCTGATATGGAAGCTAAGCAATGTACTCATGTGAATGGGGGCCAGCAACAAAACAACCTAACCTAAATATCTAACCTAAGAAAAGTCTCACCTGAAAGATTTCAGTATCAGTTTAAGTGTACACAACATTGAGAGTATTTTCACAGCTTTCCCTTATGGATTTCCAACTGGAAAATCAAGCATTATATCACTCCCTTCAAAGCCAGTCTTATTGTGTGACTTTGACACAAAAACATAAACAAACTAACTGATCAAGGCAGCATTAGACCAGCAGCTCCTATGTTCAGTGAGCTAAAATTACTGTTTTTGTCAGTGGAGCTTGGTGGCTTTTAGGAGAGCATAGATTGGGAACTGAGGTTGTTAAAGGCTTCTTTGCCAGAACAGGCTGTCTGACAGAAAGGTAAGGCACTGAAAACACTCTGAATATAGCAAACACTTTAGCTGATATTGATTTTTTTAGATGTGACTTTTACAGGTTGCAAAATGCATTTTGTTGTTGATCCCCAGCCTCAGCAGCACTTAGCTTCTGTGTTGGACTCCAGCCTGCTTCTCCAAGCTGGGAGCCTGCCTATGTAATATACTGTCTATTCATCAAGACCACATGACGTCACAGTGTTTTCACGCTGCCATATTTGTGTCCGCTCACAGCAGTCAGGTCACAGGTCACAGCATTGTCACGTTACCAAAACAAGTAGAGTAGGATGAAAATCAGCGAGAGACCGAAAATGTATGTTACTTGAAGGATGCCAGGAATATGTTGTGCTGTTGGCTGTGATACCAGTCGACAAAGAACCCTCGGACTGCAGTTTTATTCCATCCCAAAGGATGTAGACTGGCAGAATAAATGGTTGGCTGCGATAAGAAGAGACCACTGGCAGCCAACAGCTAACGTTAACTCCAGGTTGTGCAGTCAACACTTCGTGTCCGGTAAGTCCTCAACGCTATCTAATTTTTATTTTAGTCTTTGAAAACCCCTTACAAAACACACGAAACATGATTAACTTCAGATGCCATATGATTAACGCCGACAGCCCGACACTACGTTACCTAACGTGATGTTAGCTACCTCAATGGAGATTCACATTGTTTTATGCTAACGTTAGCTAACGTTATTACAGTACACTCAACAGCTTGTGGTTTGAGCTGATGTCAGTCACTAATTAACTATTATTCATACCTACTCTTGTCGTGGTGTGGGTCCTTAAATATAATACACACTCACCGGCCACTTCATTAGGTAACACTTGTGCGGTCTAATGCAATCCAATCCAATGGTTATGCCATAAATGCTATTTTTACGAAGCTTATACATTTTGGGTTTTTGTTGACATTGTCAAAAAGGTGATAATTATACATTATGTGTATTATAGAGGTCATAGTGGATGGTGCTGGTGTACTGGAGTGCATTATATTGTGCAGTGTTCTCATAATTTTGCCCAATCCATTAACATATATTGAGGGGGACAAAATATTAGGAACACTTTAATATATTACACTCCAGTACGCCAGCACCACCCAGTACAACCTTAATAATAAACATAAAGTTTAATTATCACCTTTCTGACAATGTCAACAAAAACTGAAAATGTAAAAAGCTTCATAAAGTAGAATGTATGACAGAGCTGTTGGATTAGATTGCACGGGTGGACCTAATGAAGTGGCCGGTGGACGGAC